CTTTCAAAAAAATTATTTCCTTTCAAAAAAAAAAATCTCTAAGTATTGATAGTACTAATAAGTCCCTTTAAATGACGAGTTAACAAACCTTTACCCTAAATACCGAATGAGTTTACAAGATTAAGAAAAGTAGTAGTAAACGACAGAACTGTAACATATCGATTAATTAATTATTACATCATCGTCATAGTAACGTCCTTCTTAAAGTCTCGTCGGCATGATTACACCATACAAAAAAGAAAAGAAGAAGAAGCTGTCCCTGGTCATGAAAATCAGGTTGGCTTTCCAATTGTCAGTTTAATTAGATGTTGGAAAATGGAAACCCCACACGAGTTAGAATAGCCGCACAAGAGGAAAAGGAGAAGGAAAATTTTCAATTGAAGGCACGTGGTTGAATGGAGGCAAGTCACATGAGGACGAGGGCTGAGGGCTACAAATTGAGAGGCCGAAAGGGACCCCGATTTGGCATTTCCTTCTAAAGAAAAGGACCCTTGTTATTTTGCGCACGCGTTTTTCATGCATCTATTAATCTTTTCTCGCGTGTCAAGCACCTGGAAAAATACAAATTAAATTAAAGCTAAGAGTTCAAATCAGTTTGAGTGCTTCTAGTAATATTGGATACTCAATTAATTGACTTTTTTTTTATTACCTTTTTTAGTCCCCCACTTCCTTTCATGAAAGGAACTATACCCAACGTTATATAAAGTTGTGAGTTTTCTTCATTTCCTTCATCTCCCACCCCACCTTACCTTTGTTGTTAAGCTTCCCTTCTTTGATTTCTTCAGCTCCAGTTGACGCTTTCTTTTTTGTTCTGGTTTTTCAATCAATGGATTCAGAACTTTCCTTGTGGTTTTGCTCCATGTGCAGTGCTTTCTGCTTCATGTTCTTCTCTTTCACCCTCTTGTTTTCTTTGTTTTCATTGTTGATCTTCGTTTTGAGGTTGAAGCTCTGGTGTAATTGTGAAATCTGCCAGGCTTATCTTACTTCGAGTTGGACCAAAGAATTCGACAATCTTTGTGACTGGTACACTCACCTTCTTAAAAAATCTCCCACTGGAACGATCCATATCCATGTTCTTGGCAATACCATCACTGCAAGCCCTGACAATGTCGAGCACATTCTCAAAACCAGGTTTGAAAACTATCCAAAAGGGAAACAATTCTCTGCTCTCCTTGGTGATCTTCTTGGTAAAGGTATTTTCAATGTTGATGGCGAGTCATGGAGGTTTCAAAGGAAAATGGCCAGCCTTGAGCTTGGTAGCATCTCCATAAGAATGCACGCGTTTGATATTGTCAACTCAGAGATTCAATCCAGGCTTATCCCTCTTTTATCATCAGTTTCCGGTGAAGAACAAGTTTTAGATTTACAAGACGTGCTTAGAAGATTTTCATTCGATAATATCTGCAAATTCTCCTTCGGATTAGACCCTGGTTGCCTCATGTTATCGCTGCCCATCTCAGAATTTGCTGAAGCTTTCGATTTAGCATC